CACCCTGTATAATTGAATTTATTTCAAGATAATCAAATACAGTATAATTTAATAATAATGATCAATAATATTATCCTATTCTTTAATACTACTTATTAACTTATACTACTTAATACTACTTATTTAACTTTTAAGTTTTCTGACTTTTTAGTTAGAATAATAATTTTCATTTAGACTCTACCGGCCATTCCTGTTCCAATTGTTCAGATGAAGATAACATTAGTAGTATAAGTGATGATAACGAAATTGACTGGACTAACGAAGAGAACGAACTAACAGAAAATGTCTGCAATACTGATCCTTCAAATGAAACACATAATGACAAAAACGAAATACACGAATTACGGAAATGGTCCATCGAAAATAAAATTCCACATACAGCATTGGATGGATTATTACAAATTCTGCGTTCAAGGTTGTTACCTGATTTACCTAAATCCGCAAGTTTTCCTTGGAAGTTCTGCAAGTCAACATGAACTTAAAAAATTAAGTGCGCAATCGGAATTTGTATATTTTGGCATAGCCGAGCAATTGAAGAAGTGTATAAATGCAACTCTTCATGAAAAAAAGGAATTATACCTTCAATTTAATTGTGATGGTTTACCACTTTTTAAATCAAGCTCCAAAGAATTTTGGCCACTCTTATGTAAAATATATTTCCAACCAGATATTTATGAACCATTTCCTGTATTGGTTCATTTTGGAGACTCTAAACCAAATTCCATTCAAGAATACCTCGAAGAGTTTGTGCAGGAAATAAGTCTATTATTAAAGGAAGGCATTGTAATCGAAGAACAATTTTTCCAAATTCATGTTATGTGTTTCATTTGTGATAAACCAGCTCGCTCTTTCATAAAATGCATAAAAGGACACGGTGGTTACAATGCTTGTGAAAGGTGTACAGTAAAAGGTGAGCGATATGAAAGAAAAACGATTTATCTTACAATAAACTGTCCAAAAAGAACGGATGAGTCCTTTAGAAAATTTGAAGATAAGGAACATCATGGAGCATTTCTTTCACCCTTACTAGCCATCACACCAAAAATCGATATGATTTCACATTTTGTATTGGACATCATGCATTTATGTTATTTAGGTATTGCGAAAAAATTATTAACACAATGTTGGTTGGGCACAAAATCCAATACAAAATTAAGCCCATACAAGATTCAGCAATTATCATTGCGAATGTTGCACCTTAAACCGGAAATTCCAATAGAATTCCAGAGATCTACCAGATCTTTAAAAGATCATGCATTGGAAAGCAACCGAATACAGATTTTTCCTCTTATACTGTAACCCAATAGTGTTGAAAGATATTTTACCTAAAAAATTATATCTTATATTACACATTATCTTCTATTTCATGTTGCTTGCAGAATATTGTGTTCAAAAAATATAGCATTAGAGAACAATAAGGAAGCAGGACTATATCTTGAAAGGTTTGTTGTGCTGGCATATATTTATTATGGACCGACGGTCGGTGTGTTGAATATGCACAACTTAGTTCACTTGGCCGATGATGTAAAAAACATGAAATGTACTGTTTGGAGAATCAGACGGAACCGGGCCCGAATAAGAAAATAGAAATGCGGGCTCACTTCGAACTTCGCGCTCTGCAGCTACCCGACGCATACGGGCTCTCCTTATTGGTCCGCGCTCCCTACCTGTCGAGCGCATACGATTGGCCACCGCTTCGCATGGCAACGATCCCCATTGGTTGGTACCAATAACCGTCGGGGCTCTCTTTTGGGTCCGCGCTCTCTGTAGTACACGAGCGATTTTCGGACTTGGCAACCAGTTACCTCAGAGTATCCGTACATCTTGTCACGTATGTACGTGTGTCGGGAGGCGCGCAATCAAGTACGTTGCGTCATCCCGCGAGTGAAAACCTGCTTCGTCCGCAAGGACCGGTGCGTTCTCGCACAAGTAGTACGTCGTCCGTAAGGACCCGTGCGCCCTCACTCAATCGAGATTGCGTCCGCAAGGACCCGTGCGCTCGCTCGCACCAGGCAAATAACGGCTTAGTCCGTAAGAACCGTGCGCTCGCTCGCACTCAGAAATCACTCTGGCTGCTGTCTACGTCGCCGCTGTTGTCTACGTCGCCGCTGTTGTCTACGTCGCCGCTGTTGTCTACATCGCCGCGATTGTCTACGTGGCCGTTGCCGTCTTCACCGAGACCGCTCAGGTCATCTCTACGTCTCATCGACGTTCCGGACGTGCGACCATCCCTGCCCAGTGTTTCGATCATTCGTCGGACCAGATAAGTCCCCCGTTATACGAACTGTCGCCATCGACCCATCGGCCCATCGGCCCCCGAGCGCGGATCTTTGTTAAACCCACCCCTACGTGATGTTATACAAGCTTCCACATTAGTGATTGTCCCAGCATTAGTCGATACGAATAACGTTAATACATTCTTGCGTTCAACATTCCTTCGATAACTTTCTTGCGTTCCCCATTCTTGTCCATTAACTTTCTTACGTTTAATAAACTTGCGTTTACCATACTTGCGTTTCACATTCTTGCGATTAACTATAGTGCGTTCCACATTCTTGCGTTTAACGTCTGCTGATGACTGTATCCCCAATTAATAACTAATCGAACCGTAGCGTTAGCAATATCACACTGTGCGATCTCCAAACATGTACTCTCCCGGAAATTTCTGCATTTCCTTTCGAAAATTATTTAGGTAAAATGAAACGATTTATAAGAAGTGGAAATAAATGCTTGACGCAACTGTATCGTAGACTATCACAGTTATCACTCATTAATAATGCGGAAAAACCACAAATGCCTACCCTTGTCCAAATTATTAAAATTATATATAAAAATGAAAAATGTTTAATAAAAAAACTGAGATATAAGGAATTTACAATTACATGCAAGTCTCCGAATAATGTTGCGTTGTTAAATGATGAATCGATTATCCTTATTGACAATATGTCGTTCCTTATTAATAATGGAAATGTTAATGTGGATAATATTATTATACATGGACAAATTCTCCAAACAAGAAAATCAATTTTTGACTATCCCTTTGAGTCTTCGATAATGAACATGTGGGAACTTGAAAGCTGCAACAACGAACAACTAATTGTTACGTCAATTTCGTTATCATCCGTTTTACAAAAAATGATTTTATTAACTCAACCAGCAAAATTTGAGGAATTTCCGCAAAAATATGTTATACCACTTCTTCATTAAAACAGGTAATAATAAATAAATAAATAAATAAATAAATAAATAATAATAACGCATTGACAGATGGTGACACTAGTAACGCAGAAAAAGTATCTACACCACTAAAACGAAAAAAATAGTATTCCACAGAATGGGCAGTGTCATTTTTGATTATTTCTACAACATGTCAGATTACATAAATTATATAATAAAAAGCATGCAAGTTGTGTTAAAAAAAAAGTTACTTTCGATCACAAAATTTCATTTCTAAAAGCATAAATTGAAAGTAAATAATCTAAATAACACGATAATTTCAACTCTTGAAAACTTAAGACTGGTTAAGCAAGAAGTAAGATGGAAGAAGCATGGAGAGAGAACAAGTAAGGTATTAATCGCTTGGCCTACGAGGTAGGAGAGGAGAGGATGGGGGACGAGAAGTAGAAAAAGGAAGGATATACGGCAAACGTAGAAGTTAAGAGAACTCGCTCGAGTACCTTGCCCCGGATCAGTGAAGGTGGCGGGAGAGATGAGAAATTATTGTTATTATAATTAAACGCACTGCAGAAAAGACTGGTATGGACATATCTCTCTGCAGGACATAGAAGGGGAAGGAGTAAAGGCTGCGGAAAGTATGCAGAGAGTGGAGATAGGAAGAAAAATACGGCGGGAGGGTTAGAAGACAGTACGAGAAAGAAAGAATAGAATGCAGTTGAAGATCGTTGGGGAGCGACGTCTTGCCACTTTCGACGAGAAGGGGTACAAAAGAGAAACTACTGTACGAGGAGGTAGGAGACTCAAGGAAGTAAGAACAGGATGATGAAGACAAAGGAGTAGGAAGTAGGATAGGAATACGGTAGCCAAACTTGATTACGGTAAG